GAACGAATCGCCATAGATATCCTCGGACCACTTCCCTTAACATAATACTTAATGGTTGTTATGGACTATTTTTCAAAGTGGCCCGAAATAGTGCCTATTCCTAATCAGGAAGCGATGACAGTAGCGGAAGCATTTATGAAGAACGTCATTGCGAGACACGGAGTCCCCCTGGAATAACATTCTGACCAAGGACGAAATTTTGAATTCGAATTATGGCAAGAATTGATGAAACTGTTAGGTATTAGGAAAACCCGGAATACGCCTCTCCACCCACAGTCCGACGGAATGGAAGAAAGACATAACAGAACGATATGCCAGTATCTCTTAATATTCGTCTCTGATAATCAGAAGGACTGGGACACTTTAATTTCTCTATTTCTGCTAGCCTACCGAAGTTCTGAACATAAGACGACCAGTTATACTCCATCCATGATGATTACTGGAAGAGAGATGAAACTTCCCGACGGTCTTCTTTTTGGAAGGCAGCCTCCTGATGAAGAAGAGGGCCGTACACCTCCCACGTATATACAAAACCTAAGCGAAAGATTGGAGAAGGTACACGAATTCGCTCGGCAACATTTGAAAGTTAGTAGCGATAAAGCAAAAGCTAGAATCAACATGCATGTCACACGGACACATTTTGAAAGAGGCGATCCAGTATGTCTGTACAATCCCAAGCGCCGAACAGGACTTTGTCAGAAACTCCAACGGAACTAGGAAGGCCCCTACACCGTCCTCAAGAAAATTAACGACCTGATCTACCGCATTCAGTTGTCAGCGGGAAGTAAACCTAAGATAGTTCACGTTGAAAAGTTAGCGCCATAACGTGGTCCAGATCCTCCCCATTGGTTCCAACCAGGTTCCAGTAATCAAGCTATTCGGAACGAGGAGGAAGCAATGTTACGCAGTACCCTGCAGTAGCCTCCGGCTATTATAGAAAACGTACAAATAGAAAAAGAAATGGAATGGTACTCAGTACAAGTAAAAGAAGATAAAATAGTCCAAAAATATCTGGAAATGTCATTATCCGTCAAGAATATTCTAGATGACAGTTCGAGAAGGTTCGGAAAGGGTCAAGCAAGCTATATAACGATGATCCTGACGTCAGTTGGGGGTTTTTATGATAAACGTTACTTCTTAATGTTATCAGTTGTATAATTGTTGTTAAATTTGAAATAAATTGCGATACCAAAAACCTGTGTAACAATATTTATAGACACACGTTCCTAGCTTCATATATTTATTTTTTTTACGAGTGCTTACTAACGTTTCTATCTTCATTGCTTACTTTCATTTATATATTCACATGCCTAGGTGTTATTCAGATATTTGGAATAAATAAAAGGGGACGCATTTATTTTAAATATTTATTTGTGCAAGTGCAAATAGAAAAACCAATAAAGGGATTTCTTATTTGGTTCTTCTATCTGCTTAAGTGTTGAAGTATAATTTCACAATTTCATAATTACCTTCATTGATTGTAACAGGATATGAGTGAAAAAGTGTCCTGTATACAGGGTGACAATGAGACCAAGGCAACGTCAATATCTAGTTAATTTATGAAACGATTTGGATCAAATTACTAGAAATAATTATACTTAAATAATTGGCCGTCTTCCGGTTTTATCAGAAATTATGCCATTAGTTTGATTTTTTAAATGGATCACAGTGTATATTTTATATTTTTAAATTATGTATAACCAACAATATCTCATTTGTCATAAAAATTTTTTGTTTATTTTAATCAGCCATCTCGTATTATCATTTATTTTTTATCTGGAAGCTCATCCACTGGAAAATAGTATTCTAATAGCATCGAATCACTTGAAAAAAGCTATATTACAATTATGATAAAAATTATTCTTTCGGATGAAAAGTAAATTTACAAAACGTGCTTTTTACCAAAAAATCGGCTATTTTTTGGTGTCATTGTCACATGGCAAAACACGTTACAAATTATAATTTTTTGACATCCAACATAGTTTTTTCCTGCAAAAGCAAGACCAGGAGTGCTATTATTTTATTTTTGCAGCAACTCTTTTGGAAAACTGGTGCTCAAGTTTTTTTAAGCATAACTACACATTGTTGATTGAAATTTCTTATATCCGCCATTTTATCGTTAAACTCATTCCCCTAAAATTAATATTTCCCTATAAATTAGTAATTTGTTCATAGGTTTACATAAATAAATAATATTTTAAACTAAAACTAATGTTTTTTTGTCCAATTTTCGTCGTATGTCCCCACATATTTCAGTTTTTTGTCATTTTTAAGCTATTATTAAAAAAACTTTTTTTTCAAGTCCCGTTAGTTATACAGGGTGGCTCACGCTCAACGGGACGGAGCTTTATGGGAAAACGACCAAAGATATAAAAAATTCGTTTAGGAGGAATACGTAGGTTACAGACGGCTACAATTTAAAATTTGTTAGATGTATACAGGATGTCCCACATAAGAGAAAATATACAAAGTTATATTATTTTTAATGGAACACTCCGTTTTTTATTTTAGAATTAAAAACTACATCAAAAATAATGTCAGTTAACTAAAGGTTCCCTATTACTATTATTATTAGTGTTCGATTTATTTGAATTTTTAAGGAAAAAAAGTCTCCCAGAAATTAATTGTTTACTCTTGTTTGAATAATTTTTAATGAACTAATTTTTGTTTTCTTATGTGGGACATCCTGTATACATCTAACAAATTTTAAATTATAGCCGTCTGTAACCTACGTATTCCTCCCAAACGAATTTTTTATATCTTTGGTCGTTTTCCCATAAAGCTCCGTCCCGTTGAGCGTGAGCCATCCTATATATTAAATAATTTTTTTGAAATCATTTAAATAACTGGAGGGCAGCACCTTTAAAAATTAAAATTGTTTATTCAAATTTAAATCAATCAAACCGTTTGTTGTTCAGTTTCAGTCTCCATTTTGCTTCTTAAACAATAAAAAAACTTGTACCAAATTTTATTAAACTTTGTTGTAGTGTAAGCTCATATATTTTAAAAATGTTATTTTATCATGTGATGTTTTAATTTTTTAATTATTTTTAACCCTTAAAAAATAAATATTCAGTTCGTTTCATTTTTTTTAACAGATTGTAATTCCGTAATTGTGTTTTGTTCTATATTATATTGTGTAGTCATTTCTACGTTACCATTTTTGGGGTGATTGCTGTTTCAACACTTTTTCAATATTTGTTAGCAATTTTTTAAATTTTTCATTTTTTTATTTTTTTCATTCAGTTGGTACATTAATTTGATTAATTTTTGTTAGTATGAATAAATAAATATAAGTGGTATTAGAGGATTACTTTTGTTAATTTCTCTTAAATTAAATCAATGTTCCATCATTTTTTTCATCTTGCTAACGATGTAAAATTCATCAATTCTCCTTTTTTCTCATACCCACTAGGCATGCAGTCAAATTTTTCGGAGGTTACTTTTGGAGTTAAATTAGAAATACAATAATTTTTAAGTGTTTTTTCGAAAAACTGTCAAAGAAAAGTAAAACAAACGAACGTATACTATATTGTTAACATGCTTCAAAATACTTTCATTTGATATCACACGAAAAAAATTCTAACTTCCAAATGAAACCCTACCACCTCCTAAGTGACTTCTAAGATAAAGTATTTATAGCAGCGGCAGAAGTTGAAAAGAATTTTGCTAGTTCTCCCACTTCATACACATAATTTGACAGGTTTACGGCGGATCTAACCGAAGTGGACGTGATACATTGGTGTACAAAATTATTTTTAGACGTTAATAACAATTTCGAGTAAATAGTTTAATAAATTGTGAATAGCTGTTAAAATTTTTTAGAATTATGATTTGAGTATTATGGTTCATGTTAAATAATTATTTATAGTCCATAAATACATGCGATTGTCCAGTTCTTATTCTATGAACTGGCAGGTAAACATTATTGGTTTGACGTTTACCTACCAAAAGCCTTTCCAACTTCTACCTCTGCTATACATTCTTAGTTAACGCCCAATTTGGGCCACTGATTACTTTAAATTTCAATTGTTTATGTCAAATAGTGTCTAAGTAAAACGATTGTGACAGACGGACAGGCAGAAAGATACCAAGATAATTTCCCTAAGTGTTTCTTATTGCCAATTTGGGTTCTAATGAGACAAACTACTTAAAAAATTATTTGTTATTGTCTTCAAAATTTTACAGTTTTTCATGTTTCGTCCTAAGTATATCTTTTCCAAATTTAAATTTGATATATTTTTATCACGAGAGAAATGAGACGAGACAAGACGAAACGAGAGAATGGCTCTCTCGAGCGAGAGAAGCGCCTTCTCGTCGAAACGAGAGAACAGTTTTCTCTCGCCCTACGAGACGAGACGAGAGAGGCCTCTTTCTCGTCTCGTCTCGCGGCATCACTAATTAAAAGAAATGTACAAAATTTTATTGAATTATCTATAGTGATAAAAAAATTTGATAAAAACATTTTTTTTATCTAAAAATTAAGAGGTTGATGACATATGTTGATTTTAACTTTTCTTTTTAAAATCACCAAAGGATTCACAACCTTAAGTATCAGCAATCAATTAATCAAAACTACAAAATGGTTTATCTTGGAAAGTTATTAAAAATTAAGAGCAACCGGCTATGATAACAATAATTTCCTCTTTACTGATTTTAGTCTTGGTCATTATTATTTTATTATTGGAACTAGGATTTAATTTTGTAATTAATTTGTTATATTACTTTAATGATTTCAACTTTGACCAACCTGATAAATATTTAAAAAAGTTGTAATCAATTCTGTTGAAATATATTTAGTCGTTGTCGTTTTCCAGTTTATGGCTTTAAGGGCATTTTCGATCGAACCGAAAGTCGACCATTTTGTTTAAGTATAATTGTTAATTCCAACTAATATCGCATTGTCACCTTACTCATCACCCGAATATCCAAATTTTTAATGTTTTATTCCGAATAAACATTTTTCACAACAATGACATTTTTTTTTCTATTTATTCTAGGAAAGAAAAATATGGAACACATCGACGAAACTAGCGAATTTGCACAGCCAGATATTTTTCCCAAATTAAAACAAGACAAATACAGCTATCTAAAACCCTACCAAGACCTCGTTGAAGAAAATCCAAATCCAGAAAACTACGTCCGCCTTGGCGATGCTTACCTAAAGGTACTCGAACCTGATGAGGCCTTACAAGCCTATAAAAAAGCCCTAAAAGAAAATCCAAAAGACTTATCTATAATCCACATAATGGGTAAAGCGCTAATAAAAACTCACTACTTCAAACGTGCTGTTAATTTTTATAAAGACGCCATCAAAGATAACAATGATCTTGAGCTTAAAGTCCAGCTATCGGAGCTTTACATGAATTTAAATGACTTCCAGAAAGCCGAACTTCTACTTCTGGACGAATTGCAAGAGGCCGCTTTTAGTGAAGATGACGATTTGGATTATCTCAAAAAGAAACTGAGGTTGCAGAGCCTCTTAGCTCAGATACAAGAAAAGAGCGGTAACGTAACTTACGCTATGAAAAGCTTAAAGGACGCTATGAAAACTCAAGAAAAAATAAGAAAGAGGCTATCGGTAGACAACGAACCTACAGAAGATAAAAACGTTATCTTACTAGAACTTCCGGTGAAGTTGGGTGAGATGGCTTTGATGACAAACAAGACAGAACAAGCTATAACGTTTTACAAAGAAGGACTTGAAATGACTCCCAATAACATTAACATACTTGTAGCCTTAGCTAAGGCTTACATGCAAGTTAATAATTTGGATATGTGTCAACAAACTTGCGCTCTAATTTTAAAAAACAACTCCACGAACGAAACTGCTTCGGTGCTGTTAGCTGAAATAGCAATTCGGAAGGTTGATTTTGATATGGCAGCTTTCCACTTTATACAACTGGTTACGAAAGAGCCAAAAAATTGGCAAGCTTTAGCCCGACTTATTGACATATTCAGACGTATGGGCATTATCGAAGATTCTGTAAAGTACCTAGATTTAGCAGCTGATTTTTGCGATGCTAAAGAGCATAAATTCCTGTACTGTACAGCTCTGTACCAGTGGTATTCGGGCGATCTCAACGGAGCTTTGAGAAATTTCAACATCTCCAAACAAGATCCAGATTTCGGCCTCAATTCTATATACCACATGATTGATATCTGCTTAAATCCAGAAGAAGATATGTTTACAGAGTTTATGGAAGCAGACGATACCGAATATAAAGATTCTAGAAGTATGGCGTTGAAGACTGCTGAAAGATTATTACGGGAGCTAAAAATTAGATTAGGATCTAAAGCTGAAGATGTAATGAAATACAGGTTATTGGATAATTTCCGGTTGCTTTCCACACGAGAAAAGTTTAATATCGAGAGAGCTTTAGATGACTTCTCTTCAATTGGAGCTCAGAGTGGTTCTAAAGAAAATATTGGTACCATTTTAGGTGTTGCTACTGCATATACGTTGCTCAATCAAGGCAAACGTGCCAAAACGCAGCTCAAACGTATCGCAACTACTATTTGGTCAATAGAAAATTCGGAATATTTAGAAAGATCCTGGTTGCTTCTTTCTGACTATTACATACAAGCTTCTAAATACGAACCCGCAGCTCAGCTAATAAAGAAGATACTTCAACATAACAAATCCTGCACTAAAGCTCACGAGTATCTGGGATTCATTTCTGAAAAGGAACAGAGATATCAGGAAGCTGCGAATCAATACGAGGAAGCCTGGAAGCTGGGAAGAAAAACTAACCCTTCGATCGGGTTTAAGTTGGCTTCTTGTTTTATGAAGTGCAAGAAATATCCCAATGCCATAGTTACTGCGCAAGAAGTTTTAAAAATTAGTCCAGAGTATGAAAAAATTAGAAAGGATATTCTAGAGAAGAGTTTAAATAATTTAAGAACTTAATGTTTAAAATTAAATAAAGTTGTAGGTTATTTATTAATGGTTTGTGTTTTATTTCCATTTTCTTCTATCACGGCATTTGTCTTTCCAGTTTGTATGGATATTGCTATTACTTTGCATTAGAGTTTAGGTTTAAGTTTTTAGTAATTACCAGGCCAAGAGAACATTGTTTATAGTCCAATCCTAATGCTCCTTATTCTTTAGATACTTTGTTTTGGCTAGCTAAATAACACCATCAATTTTCAGTGATTCTTTGACCGCAAACCCATCGATACAACATAAAATGTTTCCAATAAACAATGACTCCGGAATCTTATCCGATTAGATAAAAATATAACCGTAGCGAGCCGAGAGCCAAAGGGGGCTGGACTGCAAAACGGGCGAATCGGAAGTGGACCGGAAATAAAACAAAAACGAAGCACTGCTCGAAAATTTACGGCCCTCATTACAAATTGGACCAAATAAAATTTGTATTCGGGCCGAGTTTTACGATCAGTACGATAGACTGACTACATGCAGAGAGTGGAGTGGCTCGTCGTAGAGACATTGCACTTGGGTTTGCGCTATGGTATGACTCGCTACCAGTGCAGTGCAACCAATTTTTTTCAACAATAATGATTATTTCCATGGAATGCTTTAATATACACGTTCTGTCCTCCATACTAAACTCTTTTTATTTATAATCAACTGACAAACATACGAGGTATTGCTATTTAAAAACCGGACTATTGTAAAAAAAAATATTTATTGAAAATATTTAACAATGTAGCTTTTATCTCCTTTAATATACTCCCCCTTCTCTATCTATATACGGCTTCATACGCCTCTTCTATTTTTCGAAGCAGTGCTGCAACTCATCTGCTGACACTTTATGTTCAGAAAGCGCCATCCAATTTTTAAATAGGCAAACCGCGTATAGCGAAACATGACATACACATTCTTCTATTACTAAGTAGAAAAAGGTAGGTAGACATGTAATCAGAGATAACAGAGATATAAGCAGTCATTCATAACATATAATATTCATGGTGCCAACAATAGTTCGTACTGTATACATTCTATTTCTAGACGCGGGACGAGGCGACGAAAGGTGAGAAGTAAGAGAAGGGATAGAGTGAAGAATTTTACGTAGTTTTATCAATGAATAACTGCGCGAGCTTATACTACATAACGTAAATTTCCATGCCGGTGTAAGCCCTGTTGCCACTTCCAATCTAACATCACTAGGTTTTGGAATTTGTTGAAAATTATTACATCTAATTTAATGAAATTACATCTAATTTGGTTAAAAATTGCTATTTTTTGTTCTAATGCTCAATTAGGTCTTTGTAGGAAGTATTTTTTTTATAATTATTTAAACAAATCATTTACATTAGCCCTTATGATCGAAAAAAAAAAAATTTAAACGTCAATATCTCGGTTTCAACCATCTACAAATTTATATAAAAAATGTTCTTTTAGAAATATACCTCTCATTTGACGAAAAACGAAGGCATAAATGAAAAAAAACTATTCTTTATAAAAGTTTCGCCTATGTATTGACAAGGTAAAAGTACTTTCGTCATATTTTTTGCTTTTAAATTAACAAAAATATAGCAATAAACAATTAGTGATGTCATGATTTTACTAGAAAGCAAACATTAAAGGCAGAGCCTCTCGACTCTTTATGCATCTATCTCAGTATTGAAATGAATGCAATCAGTTTGACTCTCTTATAATATTTTATACAGGGATTATTGATTTATCCACTATGGATAATAGGGTGTATTAATTACTTCAAGATTTTTTTTTATTTTTGGTGGAAAATGAAAAATATAAACTATTTATTGAAGGTATTTATTGAAGTATCAATTATAAACAGTAAGGCTATTGCTTTGCAAAATACAATAAATCCCCAATTTAAATAAATTATAATAATAATAATAATAATAATAATTGGAAGGAAGTATATAAAGCATAAATTAATAATATTAAAATTTATAATTACACGACTTTCAAACTAATCAGAGAATCAGATTCACCACACGAATCAACATTTTCCAAAACATTAGCGGCTGTGCCATACAGGTGCAGGAACCGATACAGCAAATATTTTTTTTCTGCATTTGCAAATTTTGCTTCCACAGTCTAGAACAGAATATTATTGTTAGAATATTGTATAGTATCTTTTTTGCATTTGCATGATGTAAGTTCTGTTATGTCTGGTGGAGGTCGGGCAGAGTCTAAAAAGTGGGTATCAGACTTCCATCTTGATCTACTTTCCATCCATACTCTTCAACATTAGGAAGCTGCATCTGGGTTTAAAGGGGTTAGCCAAATATTTAGCTGGTAAAAACATCTTAAACAATGTAGTCTTATAGGGCGTCTTCAGTCGGTGGCAATTTAGCGATGGTTTTTGAAGAGGCCAATAATCCCCTCAAAATGTTAATGGAAGTAACATTGGCAGTTTTGAATAAATTTTTATGAAAATTCTTTCAAGATTAGAGAATATGTTTTCAGAGTACTGATCAATGCCAAATCCATCCAAAAAGTAATGGTGTTCAAGGTAGGTTTTCCAACAGGTTCTTTTCCCAATGCCGGACAATTAGCTGGTTGTATTACAACCGGTCAGAGAATGAAAAGCAGGCACATTTTTTAGAAGGTTTTCATCCAAATTTAAATAATGTACTGCTAGAAATCGTCTTTAGTCTCCTCGCCCTGTTCTGAACCATATATCTTTAGTCAAAAACTTCTTAAAATAAATTAATAAGACATATGTATCGTTGCAATAAATAATGAAGCGTGAATGCCCCGAATTTTTGGCTTACAATATGTGCAATAAGATACGATTATTAGCGTCTTCGTGATTTGAATTTAAAAAATCGTCTTTTGATGGTTCAAAATTCTTTCCATATTTATTGATTTTCGCGAGTTTTGAAGAAGTTGCTCTAGCAAAAAATGTGTTAAACGTCTTTTGTTAAATATCGAATGAATAAACAAGTTCTATTATTGCGGAAGTGAAATATTGGGTCGGTCAATTTCTATATCAATTGATTTCTAAAATCCTCTCTTTTGACGTGTTGTATTTTTGACAGAATGCCCTTTATAATGATCAAATACCACATCTATCATTTGAACATTAAATTTATTTCTAAAAATAATGTTTACAAATATATGAGCATGTTCTTTAAATGATATGCAACTTTTGGGCTTTCCTATTTTGATATAATTTTTGTCTTTGCTACTTGCAGCAACAAATCCGTAATTAAAATTTTAAACGAAAACTTATAACTTACCCAAATATATTCAGCTGCAACAGGATGAATGTAGATATAATAAAGATGCAAAAATGTCTATATTTTTTCCCAATTTATTAGGTAATTTAATATATAACACATACACTTATTAATTCTTTAGTAAAAACAGATAACAATATGACACATTGCCCAATGGAACATAACGAGAAGTTTTATAATAAAAAAAATGAAAAATCCTACCATATCAATAATGTGATACATCAGCCGGCACGTAGAGAGAAACAGAGCTATGCTACGTTTGAATGTGAAGAGAAAGATACACTGAGAGTCGATAAATTTGGCGGTGAGAATTAATAACAGCATAAACCTATGACATCTCTCATCGTTTATTGTTATATCTTTGTTAATTAAAAAGCAAAGAATATGGTGTTTACTCTGTTACCTTGTCAACACATAAGCAAAAATTTTATAAAGAATGTTTTTTTTTCATTTAGGCCTTCGTTTTTTGTTAAATGAGTGGTATATTTAAAAAAGACGACTTTTTAACTAAATTTTTGAAGGGCTAAAACCAAGATATTTACGTTTATATTTTTTTTCGGCCGTAAGTGCTAATGCAAATGATTTTTTTAAATAAGTATGAACAATTACTCCCTACAAAGATTTTATTGTGCATTTGATCAAAAAATGAGTATTTTTTCTCTATTCGGTGGTATCAATATCTGGATTTTTGATGATAATGCCCTTCTGCACACTCTAATTTTGTATTAACTCCGGAATAAGGGTTACCTTATCATGACCTTTCATCTGTGAAAAATTCAGCCTTGTGACAAAAGAGTGGGAAGTGAATCGTTTTCTTGAGCGAATATTTTAATACATACACTTTACTAACAATGACAACAGCGGATATTATGTCCTACTGTGTCCCTTAGAATATGTCTTATTCACGGCCGCACGATATTTGTTAGTAGTTACATCTCCTGGTTATCTCTGCATGTAATCGTACATTAAGTGCATTCGATCAATTAAAGGAGAGGAGAAGCAGGTTTACTTTATATACTTTTTGAAGAAGTAAGAAAAGATACCAGGCATTTTTAGGCATATTTATTTCATCAAAGGAATAGGAATAGATTTTTCTCTACAAGGAATGATATATCCAGACATTTCTGGATCATTCTGTGTTCTTTTTTTACTCGTACTTATACTTATGACGACCGCAGCACACTGTAGGGTGATGGGTGACATTGCACTTCATTTTGTATTCATACGTTTCCTATAATAACTGCAGGCTACTGCAAAATGCAGGGAAATATTGCTCCCTTTTCCTTAATTATTCGTCCCGAATAACTTGTTTATTTGGATCTGGTTGAAGCAAACGTGGAGGATCTGGGCCACGCACTTGCGCTAAATTTTCAATGACTACCTTGGGTTTACTTGCCGCTGACAACTGAATGCGGTAGATGAGGTCGTTGATGTTCTTGAGGACGGCATAGGGGGCTTCCCAGTTTCGTTGCAGTTTCTGGCAAAGTCCTTTTCAACGCTTGCCTCTCTCAACATGTGCCCCTTTGGCATGCATGTTCGTATACCTTCTCTAATTAGTCCAAGCGGTGGGTAAAGAATAATAGGGTCTATTCGCAAAAGGTCGGAAAGAAATAAAATTTAGTGGGATGGTAGAAATGGGTCCCGTGATACTACGCCTAAGTTTGCGACCTCGTGGGTTTACTGCTCGAGGGGTGGAGGGATAAAAACCTTGCGTCGCGACGCTTTTCGGGAAATAGCGTCGTTGTAGTAAGTGCTATTGAAAAAAAAATCAA